AATGATTAAATTTCTTGTGGGGAGTTGGACATGTGCATATTTCATCTCAATTCTTTTTTTATCCCCTCCTTCCCCCTTCTTCTATCTCTTGATCCCGTTCCCAATTGAGAAAGATCTACCTCCCTGCTTCCTATTATCTATCCTTTATTTTGCTCTTTATTTAGAGCTCCGGTTTCTCACAGAGAAACATGCAGTATTTAAGCTTATGTGTCTGATTTATTTCACCCCGTCTCCCTTTAATTGCAACAGACCATTCCACTGTGTGGATGTGACACAGTGGATCGATGGATGTTTGGGTGTTCATGAGTCTTTCTACTGTAAGCAGTGCTGCAATGAATGAATGTGTGCACAAATCCTTTTGCACAAGTACAAGGGTGTCTAAGGATAAATGCCTCGAAGTGAACTAGCTGGACAGAAGGATTTGTGCATTTTTTATCACAATAGACGTTGCCACATTCCCCTCCACAGAGGTTGACTGTAGCACTGATGCTCTCCTCAGCAAGGGAATGGAGTCATGAAGTCTTGGGGAGTAGTAGCCACTATGGAAGGCAGCCCAGGAAGTTCAACAAGTAATTTAAAATGAAATATCACCCACATCAATCCTTTGAAGTCTTTTATAAGCCACCCTAGATTGCTCAGTTGGAGACCTTCCTCTGGCCTTCTTGCACATCATATGCCAAGCTTTTTTCTAGCCCTAGTTTGTTTGTCCTTGGCACCCACAATTTCTGTTCTTGCTTTCAATGTAGCAGATGAGTTCTTTGCCAGCCAGCAACCCAAGGCTAACTCTGCAACATTCTTCTCCCAGCTGTATCATCTAACCCTCTTCTCTGGGTGAGCAGTTCTTGTTTCTTTTGGTTAAACAAATGTTCACAACTCTGCCTATATTCAACTGTGATCTCTCCAAGGACAGAGATAGCCTCATTCATCTTTGCATCCACTGCCCAGGTAGTGCCACAAAGAGCTGCCTGATAACCATTTGCCGAATGGATGAATAACCCAGATGGAATATTGCCAAACCAATGCTGTCAAAGGGCTCTTGGCTTTACTGTATTTGTGAAACCAGGTGTGTCCAGCACACTCTGAAGATTATATTTACATGAAACATTTATTTCATCCATCAGAAGCACTTTTCAAAGGCTTCTTTATGTTTTCTCTTCATTTTTCTCCCCTCTTCCTCTTGGCCTGGTTAGAGTCTCAAGGGAGAAGTCCATGATGGGAAACAGGCACAACAGTGGCCACAAGCATGAAAAGGATTTGCAGGCAGTTGCAATGATAAACACAGGGCAAACACATGCAGAAGGAATAAGTATCGCCATTGTAGAAAGGCAGCGGGAGGGGGAGGCAAAATCACTACAGTTCTGTAGTTCAGTGGGGTGCAGGTACAGTCTCAATTCCAAAGGCAAATTCAGCAGTCCCACTCTCAAACTTTTCTCCTGAAATCATAGTTTTCCAAACTGTTTTGCATCATTTTCACAGGGCTTCCTCATGTAGAACTCATCCTCTTGACCATTTCAATAGAAAACTTCCTAAAGCAACCCCCACATTTTAATGCCTTTGAGACAAACTGTCTCAATATATCAGCAACAAAGAAAGGCAGCAGAGAGTGGGTTGGGAATCAGACATATTTAGAGTCAACTCTAACTAAGATCAGCCAGTTATAAACAGTGGGATCTCTGTTTTGTATTCTGTTTTCCAGCTTTTTGTTTTGAAAATTTTCAAACTGACCCAAGTTGCAATAAAAGTACAAGGAACAGCCAGGATCCGGGATTGGCAAACTTCAGCCCCAGGGGTTTGTCTGACCTGTGAGCTAAGAGTGGTTTTTACATTTAAAAGTGGTTGGAAAAAAATTTAAAAGAAGGAAGAATGTTTCCTAACACATAAAAGTTATAGGAAATCCAAGTATCAGTGTCCATGAATAAAGTTTACCCACTTGTTTACATACCGCCTATGGCTGCTTTTGCTTCACCATGGTAGAATTCAGTAGTTGTCACAGAGACCCCCCTGGGCCTTCGAAGCCCAGAATACTTACTCTTTATCCCTTTACGCCTGATCTAGACTTACTAATTGTTAATACATTGTGTTGTTTGTTTCTTCTCTCTTTCTTGCTGAACATTTGTGTTAGTTTTGACACTTCACCTCTAAATATGCCAGTCTTTCTTGAGCTAAAACCAGGGGATTAACAGGTTTAGTTCGGGAAGAGATAAGATAATAAATATAAAGTACTCAGCTCACAGTACTTGGCACAATTTAATAAGCAATGCAATAAATAAAAATTCCTACAGAGGTGGTTGCTAAAACACCCAACTTGAGATCCTGAGCTTTGGTGCTTTCCTGAAACCCTGGTTCTCAGAGCCCAAAAGCCAGTTTTTCCTCAGAAAGGGGTTTTTACCCAGGGAGCAGAAAAGCCTCAGGGAAGCCTCATTTTTTCCATTCCTTGTGGTTTGGCTGACTCAACTTCTGCCTTTCCCTGAGTCACGAGTTTTTCCTCTCTTATTTGGAAGAGCAGGCTCTCCACCCAGGTCTCCCCCCCTCACCCCCACCCTCAGGCCAGCCCCTGTTGGGAAAGGGGAGGCAGCTGAAGGATCCTTTTACACCGCCTTCCCAGCATTTCCTAGAGCTCCACTCAGCTCCACAGGACGGTGGAGCTGGAAGGGAAAACAGATGAAGAGACTGCGCCCCAAGTGGGCTCTGAATCACCAGTGAGATGAGGCTTGGAGGGGTCTCCTGGCCCCAGGACCAACAATTATCTCCCCACCCCCTGCTTTTCCAGAATCATGAAAAGGCCTCCCCTTTCTGGACACTTGCTCTGTGCCAGGCAGAGTGTTAGACAGCTGAACACCATCATAAACAACACAGCCCTGCCTTAGCAGCTCCTTTCTAAATCTCATGGCAACCTCCACCCCAGGCACCTCTGCTTTTCCCTGAAAAGCCCCTCTTGCTGAGGAGGTAGGGGTTCTGGGCACCAAGGTGGGGTTGGCAGGTGGCCTTAGAGCTCAACTCTCAGGCCCCTCTGCACACACGCAGTGTGTGCACTTGGGACAGCATCTCCCAGTGTCCTGGTGTCCCAGCTGACCTACCTGGTTATAACCCAGCCCTTGGGATTTCAGACCCTGTCTCCTTCTCCCTTGTATGGTGGAGACGCCTGACTACACCAGCAAGACAGGGAAATTCAAATGCTTTCCCAACTGGGAGGACATGAGCAGGAAACACAGGCCAAGGGAGAAGCCACAGAGGGTGGAGGGGCCAGGTAGATGGGAAAACATGAGTCCCATCTAAAGGGTGCAGCTTGCTGCGAAGATGAGGGCCAATAATTTTTGTATCTTCTGATTTAAGAGAAGCTAGAAGTCCTTTTTTTTTAAGGGGAACTCTACCAATATGAAATGTTCACAGCAATAAAATATTTTTCAAGGCAAAAACGAAGGTTATTGGAGTTAAGTTGAGCTCAGAGCCTACCTACCAGACGGTGGCTTTTGTGGGTGCTCAGTAGACACTGTGCTTCCTGATGACAGTAACGGCAATGGAGCATGGCAGGGATGTAGAGGGGGCTCTCCAAGGTCACCTCTGGCGGCCCTCTCCTCCTCCTTCTCCTGGCCCACCCCATTCTTTCCCCTTTTGGGCTGGGAGTGGCAGTCCCAGCACCAAGCCTCAAGCCTCAAGGCCAGAACTGCCCACTGCACAGAGACCTGAGCCAGAGAGCCCTCCTCAGCCCCAGCAAGCGCCCAGTCCCTCTCCCGGATTCCCAGGCTCTGTCCTATTTGGCAACTCTATCTATGGGACATTTACTGCCTTGTGACCCAGTGCTGCACCTCAGCCCTAGTGACAAAAGAATGAGCCGGGTGAATGCCATCACAGCTTCGAGAGAGAGGCAAAGTACCAAGCTAAACAACTGGCCAAGGAGATGACTTCAGGCTGTTTCCTTTTTTACAATAAACAAAACCGGATGAGGTAGTTGAGGGCAAAGGGTTGAGGTGGGGAGATGCTGTGGGGGTCAGGGAAGAGGTGTCAGTTTGAGAGACATAGAGGCTGTGCAAAGGGAGCTGGGGTTTTCCTAAACTGGAAGACGCCAGTGGGAGAGGTTGTGCCGGGATGAGGCCAGAGGGAGGCTGAGAAGGTGAAGCCTGGGGCCCTGGAATTTCACTTCGAGCAGCCAGGCAGGATTAAGCAAGGGCCAGCACAACCTGCTCCTGCTGCTGCGAGATGAGCGCATGGGGTCCACGAAACTGTTGTTTCCTTTAGTGTATGAAATTTTCCACTGTCAAAGGGTTTCAAAATATATAATAAAGCGCTGCTGATTTTTAATGATTATCAGTCTCTTGGGGTTGCTAAGCTGAGGTGAGTCGGTCAGCTAGCAGCCGGGCGCCCCGCCACAGGCGTCAGGGGAACTCGCCCCGTCGCTCCCGGCCCCAGCCTGCGCTCCACCCCGTGTCACCCAGTCGAGGGCCGCCCCCCACCTCTCGGCGAGCAGCGGGAACGTGGGGTGCGGCGGAGCGGGCCAGGGACACCCGTGAAGTGAGGTACGAAGTGGTGAACCAGCCTCGCCAGAGCCCGAACAAGCCCCGCCCCACCCCAGCGTGCCGCGGGAGCTGACGGCTTACCGAATCACCCCGGACCGCTTCGCCCGCGCACGTTTCTCTGGGACTCGGGTTGGCTCCGCCCTCGCCCTCGCCCCAGACTCCCATTGGCCGAGCCGCCCTTGGGGGGCGTGGCAATGTAGTTGAAACTCGAGTCGTGGGCGACGCGGGGACAGACCGGAGCCTCCGGCGGGTCTTGGCGGCGGAGTTGGGGCTGCGTGCCCAGGCGGGGACGTGAGCGTTCCAGATCCGGGCAGAGAACGGGACACGGGGTCCCCGGCGAGGGGGTAAACGCCCCCGATTCGGGCGGAGAGCGGGACGCGGGGCCCCTGGCGAGGTGAGCACCCCCGCCCAGGGCGGAGAGTGGGTGTGGGCCTGCGGGGGCGGAGCAGACGGGACTCGGCCCGGCGGAGGTGGGCCCGGGGCCGGGGCGGGCGCGGAGCGCAGCGGGGTGTCTCGGACTCTGTCCCGGAGCTGAGTCGCGAGAAAGGAGCCCGATGCACGCTGGCGGATCGTAGCTAAGCGGGAAATGGGGTGAGGGCAGGTCGCAGTATCGGGGCCGAAGCGGGGTCCCCATGATTGCGGGGCAGGACTCCGAGGCGTCCTGGGGCTGCTCCTGGGATCGCAGCGCGCCAGGTGTTTGGTGAGCTCTCGGGCATGCGGGGTCCTCACTCCTGGGACTCAGTCTGAGGGATCTGGATGTGAGGCTGAGACCAAGAGGGGCGGTGGGCTGGGCAGAGCTCAGGACAGCCGTGCTTTGAGGTGATCCGGTCCTCGCTGGCCTCTCACTTAGGGACTCCCTTTTCCCTGGAGCCTTTGTGTTTGTGACTCTTAGAGAGAAAGATCAAATAAAATAGGGTCAGGCTGTCTCCCATTTCAGAGGAAGTTTCTGAGGCCGGCTCCCAGAAGTGGCCTGTCCTGTCCTTCTCTTTCTCTGTCCTGGCTACCTGAGGCTTGAGGATGTGTCCCAGCCTGTCCTCTGTGGGTGGGATAACTGAAATTTCCAGTCACCCTGAATCTTGTTTTCCGCGCACTCTTGGAATTTGAACCAAGCCGTTATCTTATCACCAGAGAGCGTCAGAGGCCAAGGGAAAAGGCCAGGCTTGTTCTGGGGTCATCCTTGGCTCAATTCCCACTGGGGGGTGTGTACACTGAGAGGGGCCTGACCTCAGCCTTCGTGCCTGCTCTCCTCCTCCCTTGGGGCTACCAAGGTGAAGGGACAGCGCAGCGGAGCAAAGGGACCTTTCCAGCCAGCCTACCCCAAGTGGAGAATGGAATTTGGCCAGTGTGGCTCAGGGGGCCGGCCAAGCTGAAGCACCTGCTCAGGCTACCCTGTGTTTTTGTGGTGGGGAGGGAGTTCTGGCATTTAGGAAGAAGACCCACTCTCTGGCCCTGAGGATTTCAGATTCTGAGTGTTCGCTTGAAAGCAGCCTTGTGCAGCTGGGGGCTGTTTGGGAGCTGGACTTCCTGGTGACTCGACTGGGACCTTGGTCAGTGACTTTGATGTAGTGGTGGGTACTTTCTCCGACTGGGCTGCAGTAACACTTAAGTGACTGGTTCCTAGCCTTTTTTCCTGGAGGAGGGCCTTCCAGGAAGCACAGCTTTGTCCGTGAGGAGGACAAACCTGAGGGGCACCCCCTCTGGAAGAATGATATTTGGATCCTGAAACTGCACTCCTGGACTTGGAGAAAAACTCAACTCCTCTTCAGAATGGTCCCTGCCAGCCCCCGTAACCTGACCTCCGACCTTGTCCACTTGTCCTTCCTCTGCTGCCTCTTCACTCCTTCCACCTTAGCTGTTCCTAAGGGCCCAAACACTTCCCCTGGGCTGCTGGGCTGGTTCCTTCCTTGTTTTCAGCTTGGGGTGAGGTAACTTCCTCACAAGATTTTCCCTGACACCACCCCCAACTCCAACCCCTCCAGGCACATCAGCCTTTTCCTTTTGTCTGGTAGGCTGAGAAAACACCTGGCGGATCTCTTCCAGCCTGTCTCCCTCAGGAGAAAGAAGTAGGTTACTGAAGGGCCTGGTCTCTTGCACCCCACTGTGACCCAGAGCCTGGCTGGGTGCCTGGCCTATGAGAGTGAAGGTGAACTCAGGCAGCCAGTGTGGGCCTGTCTGGGCTGAGGTCCTGCTGGGAAGAAGAGGCCTCGCTCTTGAAGCGAAGGGAAAGTCCAAAGGGCAGGGCTGTGCCGCCCTGCTGATTCCAAGCCCATCTGTGACTGTGGCTGCCTACATTACTCTCTGAAAGGGGGAGTGCTGGATCCTATTTTCCAGGATTCCAGGGCCCAGAAGTCTAATCCCAAAGGCTGTATCCTGAGTGGGTAATAGGAGACGTTGGTTTCCATCAGGACCCAGCACCAAGCACCCAGTGGCTTGGTAGGTGTTATGTTATCCTAGGAGTAATTTTGATGTGCATTTTACAGCACATGGTGGTGTAGATTAGAGGTCAGCAAACCTCTTCTGTAAAGGGCCAGATAGTAAATATTTTAGGCTTTGCAAACCATACAGTCTGTCGTTGTGGCTGTATTCCAATAACAAATAAAAAGCTGGAAGTGGGCCAGGTTTGGCGCGGATTTTCAGCCCTTTGTTGTAATCACATACCCTTCCTCAACTATCAGGCGTAGAATGCTGGCCACACGAATGCACAGTCACCCAGTGACTCCCAGGATGCAGCTCCCAAACCGTGGTGCCCACTGTGAACACCTTCACCCCAGGGTCAGGTGGAGGGGAGGTTAAGCCTGAAGGCCCCACCTTTCTGAACCCTCCAGGAAACGAAAGGCTGTTCATCCCTCTGTGTCTCATCCTCGCTGACCCTGTGGCAGTGTCCTCTCTCCATCAGTGGTCTGAGTGCCACACTAGGGTTGGCACAGGCATCGTCTAAGGCCGAGAGGCTGCGGGAGACTCTATCTTCATTGTCTCTCTGAGGCCGCTGGCCCTGAGTGGGTAGGGGCAGCTCAGCTGTCTCCTCCCCTCTCCTAAGCGAAGATTGTTCTGTACTCTGATGAGAATAGTGAAAGAGAAGATCCCCCATGTGACAGCCTGCTGTGTCTACCAAGAAAAACCTCAGGCTGTGTCAAGCCAGGTTTGAAGGTGTGGTCTCATCCGTGAGGGTTTATCTTCCCAGGCCCGCCGTGCCCAACCCCGGACCTCTGTAGGGTCACAAAGGAGAGGACATGAGAGCCCTCTAGCTGATCAGTGAGCGGTCACCTCAGCCCAGACCCTTCCACCAGCAGGTCCCCCTGCCCTTCCTGCTCCACCTTCTCCACCAGCATCTGGGTAGTAGCCACTGGGGCCTGGACGGGGTCTGTTGGCCACAGTCTAGGGGCACAGCAGCGTGGAGGTCCTGTGTGGGCTCTCTGAGCGTTTGGGAGAAGCTTTTGTGTGGGTTTTCCCCTCTGTTGGCTGAATCCCCTGCAGGTTTAGCACCCCTGCCACAGCTCTCCTCGCCTGGGTGCTACTTCTCACCTCCTGTGTGCTGTGCTTTTGGGGGCATCCGTGGGAGGTGGACCTGAGCCAGCAGCCACTGAAGCTCACCCTCCACCCTGTGTGGGAGCTCCTGCCCTCCAGGCTCACAGCCCAGCTCCTCGGCTACTGAATGCTCTGGCCTTCAGTCTGCAGAAGCCACAGGAGCAGTTTTCATCCAGTTCCACTGATGCCCAGATTTCTTGGCACCTGCACGTGCTGGGGGGACACATGGCCTGCCTTCCTCAGGGCCCCTGGCATCTCCCACAGTTACCCAGGTCCCCCATCCTGTGCACCCTACCCACCAACCCAGCCAAGTGTCCCCCCATGAGGCCTGACTTGTTGTCTCTCAGCCCAAAAAGCCCAGCCACTCTCCTGTAATTTTATTCTCTTGGAGCATCTTAAAATTAGAGAAAGGAGCACGTGTTCCTGCGTCCTGGAATCGAAGAGTGTTGGATTTCATCACCTTGCTGGCTACCATCTCCTCATAAAAGAAATGGAACATAAAGGTGCAGATGTAATTGAAACTTCCCACATACCTGCTCCTGACCACGTCTAGATCCCCTTCCCTAGGCCACTTTCTCCTGGCCTTGGTTTGTGGCCATGCTTTTTATTTTATTAAACCATCTTAACCATCTGTAAGTGTGCAGTTCATACGATTAAAAATATATTCCTCTAAGATGAATCTCTGGGCCCATTAGACAATTCCCGTTACCTCACACACACACACCTGCCAGCCACCATTCCTTCTGTCTCTATGCGATGCTACTTCAGGTGTCTCCTATAAGTGGAATCATTACAAAATTTGCCCCTTGTCCCTGTCTTTTTGCTTAAATGATGTCTTCAGGATTCACCCATCGTTTCATTAATCACAGTTTCCTTCCTTTTTGCTGTTTGTGGTGGTGCTCGCTGCTATCCCAGCAGTAAGACAGGGGGATCAGAAGTTTGAGGCCAGCCAGAAAGAGACTGCCTCAAATTAAAAAAAGAAAAATCCTTCATTTCCTTTTTCTTTTTTTAGTACTGGGGACTGAATTCGGGACCTTCACACTGAGCTACATCCCCAACCCTTTTAAAAAAAAATTTAAAAAAAACTTGAGACAGGGTCTTGCTAAGTCACTAAGTTATTCAGACTGGGCTCAAACTTTCGATCTTCCTGCCTCAGCCTCCCAGAGTGTGGGAGATTATAAGATTCCTTCGTTTTTAATGCTGAATAATATTCCATTGTGTACGTTTTGCTTAACCATTCATCCATTTTGCTGACCATTGAGGCCATTCAGATTGCTTCCACCTCTTGGTTATTGTGAATAATGGTGCTGCCCATGTAGGAGTACTGGTGTTTCTTTGAGTAGCTGCTTTCAGTCTTTTTGGATGTAAACTTAGAAGTGAGACTTCTGGATCATATAGTATCTCTGCTTTTAACTTTTTGAGAAACCTTCCTAGTGTTTTCCATAGTGGCTGCGCCATTCTGTGTTCACACCAGTAGTACACGAGTGTTCTGATTTCTTTTTTTTTTTCTTTTTTGGTAGCAGGAATTGAACTCCGAGACTCATGCTTGCCAGGCAGACACCGCGCCACTGAGCTACACTCGTGCGCCTCATCATCACTGACACTTGTTATTTTGGTTTCAGTAGCCATCTTAATGAGGTTCCCTTCTACCTGTCTTTATTCACAGATCCAGGCAGTGAACGCTTTTAAAATGTCAGACTTGTTTTTCACAATGTCCTCCTGCATATTCTTTCCTGCAGGTTGCTTTCTCCCACTCAGCACGTGCTGGCCCTGGTCCATCTTGGGGACCGCACGCATGGATGCTGCTCACAGGCACTTTGGTTGCCTCTTTGAACAGCAGTCCATATACTTTTGGGGGGCTCTCTCCTCTTCTGCTCTGGCTCTGCCCTGGTGGAAACCTCATCCAGAGCACTGCACAGCCTGCAGCACTCAGCCTGGTAGGATGGGGAGGCGGCATGGTGTGATGTGTTGGTTTTGCCAGATTGTCCATCAGCCAGGGGCCTGATGCTGTTGAGGCAGGACAGCTCAGCGTTTGTGGAACACAGCCAAGATCACCAAACTAAAATTAGCAGTTCTGACATGAGGTGGTGTGAGCAGCACTTCATAGGAGGCCTCAGGACCCCAAGGGCAAGTGGAATGCCACTCAGGGGACCAGGACCCTCTCCTGCTTAGCACACCCAGGCCCCTGTGTAGGCCCTCTCTGGCTGGCTCTCGGATGGCCTAAAGAACTGCAGTTGTGAGACCCAGAAACGCTGCGTTCGTGTGTCTCATGGTGGCAGGATGGGGGGGGTGGGGGTTCAGCTGCGTGTGCTCTGCATGCCCGAACATGTGTATGGGTGATCAGGAGGGCCAGCTCTGCAGAGGTGAGCACTGAATTAGGCACGGTGGGTCCTTGGGAGCTTTAGTCATTCACCAGCCACTTGGGAAGCACCTATTGTGTGGGCGGTGCTGTCTCCAGAATTGGTGATTCGGCCATAAACAAGAAAAAATTTCCCTTCTTATGGAGCTAAGAATCTAGTGACAGAAACAGACAACAGACAAGCAAACAAGGAACAGACAAGAAAGGACAAGGTCCTGATAAGTCTTGTGAAGACAAAAAATAGGGCAGCATCCTACAGAAGGGGTAGCAAACTTTCTGTAAGGGCTCTGAAGGTAGGTATTTTAGGCCTTTGGCCTTGTGGCTTCTGTCACCACTATTCTGTCCTTGTTTCATGAAAGTAGACACAGACAATGGTAAACAAGTGAGCATGGCTGGGCTCCGTTAAAACTTCATTTATTTCTAGAGACAGGCTGTGAGTCACTTTTGAGACCATAGTTTGCAACTCCCATCCTCCATTGGGGGAGAAGCCTGATGGGGGATGACAGGGAGCCCCTTTCTCAAGGGGAGATGGGAACTAAGCTGCTCGCAGGAAAAAGCTGACACAGGGATCTGGTCCAGGTGGGATGTGCAGGCAGCTCGCTGTGGATACAGTGGTAGAATTGTGCCAAGAAGTGAGCAGGCTCGGCTAGATGTGAGAGACGTGGTAACCTTGTTCACAGGTTGAATGTTGGTAGTATTGGAAAGAGGAGATACAAGGATGGGCCCTACATTTGGGGTTTGAACTTCTAGGCAAATGGTTCCAGTGATTGAGAGAGAAACTGGGCGTGGTGTTAAGTGTGAGGAGCATATTGATGAGCAGGTGGGCAGGTGGACATCCATACCTGGAGCTCAGTGACAAGGCCAGGCCTGGAGGCTTGGGCTGGGGGTGAACAGCCTCCAGGTGGTCTTCAGAGCTGTGCGCCTGCCTGGCTCAAAGGGAGTATTGTGAATGGGACAGAAAGGGCTGCAAGAGGCCACCTACCCTTAGTGCTTAGTGCACCAGCCCGGGCCCAAGTGGCCCCTATACTCTGGAGGAAGGTGGTATAATGCAAATTCTGTGGCCACCTGATTTACTAGTACAGCCTCAGTTTCCCTCTTGTGAAATAGGGATCCTGTCCCCTAGGGTTTATATAAGGACTAGATGAGATAAAGTCATGTGTCGAGTGGACAAGGTACTCAGCACTTGCTACCTATGACGACCGCAGTTGCTGGGCACACTGGATTGATGAGGAGTTGCAAGATCTATGATTGGTTGGGGTTGTAGATGCCCACATTGCCCAATGTACACTGTTGCCATACGTGCACCTGGATCCTTCCACCTGAGGGCTAGGCCCAGAATGCCCTGGGGCCAGCTTCTGGGAGTTGGAAACTCATGATCCCAGCTTCCTTGCCCTGTCCCTGGGTAGATGCCATGAAGGCATGTTCTGTCCTGTCTTCCAGGGCTCCTCCGCGCTCGAGCTCCATTGTCCCAGTAGTCACCCTCTGAAGCTTGCTCCTTATGCTGCCTTCTCAGCCCTGTCTGGCTTCCACATGCCTCCTCCAGGGGAGCCTCTTTCAAGCCCCAGTAATTTCTTGTACTTCCACTGTCAGGGTTGTCTTCCAGGGCAGTGCATATTTGGTAGGCTAGTGAAATGGGGGTGGCTGTGAACCCGCACTCCACCCTTGACCACACCTGGGCAAGCTCATGCCTCTGTCTGCCTCCTCCTGCAGCCAAGAAAACAAAGATGGTGGACCACTTGGTGAACACAGAGATCAACAGCCAGCGGATTGCCTCTGTGGAGCACTGCTTTGGAGCATCAGGGCAGCCGCTGGCCCTGCCAGGCCGGGTGCTACTGGGAGAAGGTGTGCTGACCAAAGAGTGCCGCAAAAAGGCCAAACCACGAATCTTCTTCCTTTTCAACGACATCCTGGTGTACGGCAGCATTGTGCTCAGCAAACGGAAGTACCGCAGCCAGCATATTATTCCTCTGGAGGAGGTGACATTGGAGCCACTGCCTGATACCATGGAGGCCAAGAACCGCTGGATGATCAAGACGGCCAAAAAGTCCTTCGTGGTGTCCGCCGCCTCCACCACAGAGCGCCAGGAGTGGATCAGCCACATCGAGGAGTGTGTGCGGCGCCAGCTGCTAGCGACTGGCCACCAGCCCACCACGGAGCACGCAGCGCCCTGGATCCCCGACAAGGCCACGGACATCTGCATGCGCTGCACACAGACGCGTTTCTCAGCCCTCACCCGACGCCACCACTGCCGAAAGTGTGGCTTTGTGGTTTGTGCCGAGTGCTCCCGAGAACGCTTCCTGTTGCCGCGCCTCTCGCCCAAGCCTCTGCGCGTCTGCAGCCTCTGCTACCGGGAGCTGGCAGCCCAGAAGCTGAAGGAGGAAGCAGAGGAGCAGGGAAGGGTCTCCCCGCAGCAGCTGGCCCACCTGGGTGGGGCTTTCTACGGAGCATCCAGTGGAGATGATGGCGATGACGATGACTCCGATGAGGACAAGGAGGGCAGCAGGGATGGTGACTGGCCCAGCCGTGTGCAGTTCTATGCCTCTGGTGTCTCCTGGTCAGCCTTCCACAGCTGACCCTGGCCGGCAGAGCTGCTGCATCCATGCCAGTGCCACTACCGGGGCCCAAGCAGCCCTGTGTCCCCAGAACCCTGCCCCATGGTGGTGCGCGCAGGGTGGGGGTGGCTCTTTCGATTCTCAGTGCCTTTTTCTGGAGACGGGCATCCATCCAGGCCCACTTCCAGGTCCACTTCAGGTAATAACCTTCCCACTTAGCAAGCCCCAGAACATCTAGGCTTCTTGGGAACATAGGCCATTCCCCAGGCCTGCAGGCTATGGCTGCAGCTCCAGACAACCCCTTGACATAGCTCCAGGTGTCGGAGCACTGGGATACCAGGTGTGGGTCAGCATGCAAAGGGAGGACAGGCAGGAGAGTGAGGGTCCCCTCTGAGATGAAGCCTGAGCCCCAGAACCCCAGTCCTGCCCCCCAGACAAGCACACCCTCAGAAGAGCATGAGTCTGGGCCTCCTCACTATGCTGTCCCCACCACCTGCCCACCAAGCCCTGCCAGGCCAGGCACAGAGCTCACCTAAGCCAAGCAAAAGACTGCCCTGCTGTGTGTGCCCACCTGGCCCAGGGGACTGTAGCCCGAGCCCCCCACAGCGCAAGCCAGCCTGACCAGGCTGCTGCCCTGTCTCACGTCCCTCCAGGTGTCCAGGTGTCTGATGAAATCCTGTCCTCATCTCTCCCTACAGACAGTGGAAGCAGTGTTTTCTGTTAGGTTGGAAACTCTGCCAAACTGACATACTAATAAAAAAGAATGTTTACTAGCACCTATGGTTGCATAGTCCAGGATTCCTTGCTTTAGACACGGCCAGATTGAGAGCTGAATCCATGCAGAGGGGCAAACATTAGTAACCACCCCCCACGCTGGGCTTTTCTGGGACTGTTGGCAGCCCAGGGAGACGGGTGTTCACACCACCCCTTGGGTGCTTCCCAAGGACACAGCCCATTCCGGGTTCTGTGACAGTGGCCCAGCACCTGCAGCTCTATCCGCTTTGGTGTGGGTAGGCCAGGCAGGTGGAATAGAGGAACAAGGAGCCTTTGTCTGACTGCCTGGGCCTTCCGGGTTGAAAGGTGTCTTCTGTGCAGTCTCCTGCCCGGCCCCTGGGATGGTGCCAGTGAGTGGAGAAGCTCAGCCCCAGGTATAGCCACAAGCCTTACTCAGAGTGAGTGTGACTCTGGAACTGGAGCCACCTGAGAGCTGGCCCTCTTGGTGGTTGCAGAGCTGCAGATGCCTCCTGCAGATGCTTCTGAGCGAGTGTCTCCTCTGTACACCCTTGGCCATGGCCAGAGTCAAGGCATGACTGTCGGCTTAAGTGGTCACCTTTCGGCTGGGAAAGCTCCCCTCACTCCCAATGTGGTGAAACCCCACCACTGCAGCTCTGTTTCCCCAGTGAAGCTGGGCCTGTCTGGCAAACAGAACATTAGAGGTCGAGTCAGGGCCCATTCTGAACCACAAGTCAGGACCTGGCTCCCTTGGACCACACTGGGTGACAAGGTCTGCGGTAGACAGGTGACCACATGCAGGGACAAAGAAAGCATGGAGCACCCAGCACTTGCCTGTGACCCCACGTGGGCAGAGTGACCAGGCAGGGGAGGGTCAGATGCTTCCAGGACTTGTTTGTCTGCAAGCCTTTCCCTCCTTGGCTTCCGTCCACCTCACAGACTGGTTCAGGCTGGTTCTCCTGCCAGACAGGTCATGGGGTGAGGGGCAGCTTTCAGAGGACAGATCCGGTGTTCACCCAGAAATCCAGCCTCCCTCCCCCCGGGGCTGCTGGCAGGGTGGGGAGTGCTGGCTCCATTGGCCTCCTGGGCAGTCACTTGCCTGGAAACTCCAGGCCTAAAGGGCAGTGTTCATTTGGACAGGACAGGGGACTTCCCACAGCTGAACCAGGGTACAGCTAGGCTCCTCCACAGCTGCCTGCCAACAAGGTTGAGGTGACAGGACCCGGAGCACATGGGGCAATCCGACCCCACTTGGGGGCTGGGCCCAGGACTCACACCTGCTGGTTCTCTGAGCCCCAAGGTGATGGAACCTGTACGGACCCAGGGTACAGAGTGGCCAGCACCCTTTGGAGAGTCCTTGTGCGTGCAAACCCACTTACTGATGCTTGCCCTGTACCCTGCCGGGTACTGGGGACACAGCTACGAGTCAGATAGGCAAGGTCCCGACTCTCAAGGCTCTTTAGCAAGGGAGACAGGAGCATACGGCAGCACCAGTGTGTGCTGTGATGGGGGCTGAGGCCTGGTGCTACGGTGAAGAGGAGGCCAGCACCGGGCAGAGGTGCTGACAGAGCAAGGACCACTTTGCTTTGAAGAACTGGCCCTGATGGCTGCATGCGGATGGCTGGGAGGCTGTCAGGCATGAGGGCCGTGGGATTCCCAAGGGGAGGAGGGGGTGAGCTCTATCAAACCCGGATCTGCAGCCTTTCTGCCTGAGGTGTTGGACAGGAAGCCTTAGGTGGCCCTGCTTCTGTCCTTAGCTTGTCCTAAAGACCGGTACCTCACTGCTCTGCCGAATGTTAAACAACACCCACCTCATCTCAGCCTCATAGGTGACAGCAAGTGACCCTGAGCTGGTGTTGAAGTTGAGTGACGATCAGCGCCCCGGGCTGCTGAAGCAGTGGAGACAGCGCTAGAGGGAATCAGGTTCTTGTGAAATAGAAAATGAGAGCCTGGAAGGGAAGGCACAGCCTGGAGATTGTCTCCAACTCCCAGCAGGTTTGTTTCCCTCCAGAGACAACATCCTCAGCCAGGCTTGGGCGAAAGTCAGGCCAGACTGTGCCCTGCGGAGCCAAGCCTCCAGAAGCCAGCACAAGTTTCCTGCCACGATCCAGCTGCACAGGCATTCATAGCCAGAGTATAAAATGAACTGGAAAATTTAACAACAATAAAAGCCAAGTAATTCAATTTTTTAAAAAATGGGCAATGATCTGAATAGACACTTCTCAACAGAATAAATACAAAGGACCAAAAAATACAGGAAGGAAGTGCTCACTATCATTAGCTATCAGGAAAATGCAAACCAAAACTCCAGTGAGATAGCATCTCACATCAGTCAGAATGGTTACTGTCAAAACACAATAATAAATGCTAGAAAGAATGTGGAGAAAAAGGAACTTCTTATATATTGTCAGTGGGAACGTAAATTAGCACGGCCATTATGGAGAACAGTACTGAGGTTCCTCAACCAAACATAGATCTACCACATGATCCAGCAGCCCCACTTCTGGGGATACATCCAAAGGGAGTGAAGTCACCACACCACAGAGACACTGCACGCCCATGGTTACTGCAGTGCTGGTCACAGCAGCCAAGGTGTGGCATCAACCTGGGCTCCTGGGGATGGATGAATGGATGCCGCCGGGTCTGGTTAGTAACTGTTCCATCTGGTCCTTGGATCTAAGCACATGCTAAACAAATCAAGCAGGAAATGGGGCCGGGAGCACTGGGGCAGAGGGCATGATAATGAACCCACATCTGAGCCTCACACTAGAGCCACATTGGGTGGGTGGCATTACTAAATGACAGGAGCATGTCCTGGCCCCTCTGCAGGAGCAGGGCTAGCAGGAGGCTCCCCCCAGACTGACTGGCTTTCCCTAGCAGGACGTACACACCACAGCACTCCTGGCAGAGCTTTCTGGAGAGATGGCACGTGCCCTGCCTGTAGACCTGGGCCAGGCTCTTCCTTGGGGATGTCCCCCAGGCTGGCATCAGAGGACTGCTGCTGCTCTGGCGCCCCCCCCCCCCAAGCTGTTCTTTGAACACAGCCATGAAGAGGCTGCTGGAGGAAGTCAGATCTGCTCCTTGGCTCAGCGCCACTCAGGCAGGGACTTGAGGGGCCAGAAGGATCCAGTGACTAAGACACTGACCCAGTTCTCAGCCAGATCTGAGATTTTGGGCCACACGTGCAGACTGAGCAGCCACTTCCACTCAGCCTCCGTGAGACTTAGGCCTCCCAGGAGCTGTGAGGAGAAGAGAGGCCACCTCTGCCTATGAGACTTTACATCTGGGGCAGCAGGCACGAGCTGACCCTGAGCCCGCCTTCCAGTACCGGCCTCGCCCTTGTCCCAGCACCACGCCCTCCACAGCTGTGCTCTGCCTCAGCCCCAAGCAGACAGACTAGGACCCGTCACCCCGAGCAGGCCCAGAGGGCAAGGCGTGGGGTCGAGGTATCTGCTCGCCCTGCCCGGCTGGCCCAACTCTGGGCTGCTCTGCCTGCTTGCCAGCCCAGGCCCACCATTCTCCTCCTGTACCCGTGCACTCTGTCCCTCGCCGTCCAACCCAGCACAGATGCCACCTCCAGTCTAAAGCCCTTCCTGGGCTCCCCTAGGGCATTGGTCACACTCACGCACGCACTCACGCACGCACGCTCGCACGCACGCACGCGCACACCACTCCTCCAGGCTGCAGGAGGCCTGGCTGAGCCTTCTGTCTCCACCTTCACCCTCCCAAGCTCCTCTACGCCTTCCTCCTCAGGTCAGGGTGGACGGAAGAAGGAGGCAGTGAGCAGAGCAAGCCCTCACCCAGGAAAGGAGGGCGGGCGGGAACCCCAGGGCACCTCAGGCCTCCCTCCCACCCCCTCGTAGTTTGGGTTGGGAAACTGAGGCCCGGAAAGCAGGCACAGCCTTGACAGAGTCGGACAGCGTGAGAAGCTGTGGCGGAACAGTCTCCTGCTCTCCTGAGCCCTTCGGCAGAGTCCGGCTCTGACGGGAAAGTTCCAGCGTTCCAAACAGAGCAGCAGGCAGGGAAGGAAAGAGCGAGGGTGTGCAGACAAAGCCAGAAGTTTCTGGGCAAAAACAAGAGGAAATTTCAATCCTTGGAGCCTCAGCTTGGGGGCCCTGCCAGCATTCTGACCCTAAAAAAGTAGGCTTTCCAGGGAACACTTCCTGCCAACTGTGGCTTCTGACTGGGAGGCAGCAGAGCACCTGGGCCTGTCTGTCATCCCTGCTGCCCAGAGGCCCCTGGGGGGCGCCACTCTTAATACCAGTGTGTTTAGCTGCCCACAGCAGCACCAGGCTGTGGAAACCCAGGGTTCCAGAACACACACACACACACACACACACAGAAACCTCACAATTTACAAATTACCTGCATCCTTAAAACACCAAAGAGGGCCAGGCATGGTTGTGCACACCTGTTATCCCAGCACTCAAGAGGCTGAGACAGGAGGATCGCCATGAGTTGGAGGCCAGCCTGGACTATATAGTGAGACCCTGTCTTAAAAAGTAAATAAATAAGATAATAAAACACCAAAACACCTTCCTTTGGGTCCCAAACAGCATCCCACCCCTCCTAGGAAGTAAAGTCCTCTGAACCTTCACATCCCTCAGCCAAGTCAGCCACTTGCTGGCATAACCAAATCCCAGAGGATTTCCTCCTCCCTCCTCCGGGCCCTGAGCTAGAGTTGGTCCTGAGGGCAAGAGGGATGTGGGTCCTCCTGGTGCTGCCAGGAGGGCTGGGCTGGGTGGGCAGCAGCCTGGGGACCTGGGCTTCAGAGAGGACACTTCCTGAGGGCAGAAGAGTACAAGTCACACGCCCTAGGATGGCCCTGGGCCCCCTGAACTCTGGGCCATGGAGTGTGCTCGAAGGTCCTGCCACCTGGTGCTGGGAGTGAGTTCATGGAAAGATGGGTGCCTGGGGAGCCCCTCTGCGTGTTGTTTTCCTTCCAGTGGTCACATCTGGGGTGGCCCTCTTCCTCACCTTCAGCATCGTGGTCTGATCCAGGGGGCTCCACCCACATCCTGGCTCTAGGGATGGGCCCAGGACC